TTTGCTAGGTGTCGTTCTCGATTTCCACTGCCCGTAATAATGTATAAAGGTAGACATGTATGCAGATCAGCTACTCTATCTGGAGGACCAGAAATTTATGGTAGATCCGGACTAGATTATTTATTTGCTGGTAGTGAAGGTATAATTTCCATTCAACATCAAGTAGATGAAGCTCGTGGAAGTGATTCTGTACTTAGTGAGTGGCAATTGTTTGATAAAGTTAGGCATCATGACATCAAGCTTCTGAAATTTCTCAAAGTAGGAACTATTATTGACTTCATGGTTGAGAAGAAGAAAGTAAAATTTGGAGTAAAGTAAGTAAATCAATTTTAATTGATAATAATTTTATGCATGCATTAATTGAAAAAATTAATTGAGAATATTATCTGTTTTTTATTACCAAATATTTCTTTTATTTGAAATAAATTATATTGTACTTTTTTAAACATTATTTATAATATTAGTATTTATAATATTAGTGTAGAAATAATTAGTATTAAGTATTTATATATTATGTATATTATATTTTGAAATGAATTTTAGAGTAAATATATTAGATATTTTTAGATTATATTTTCATAGATTATATTTTCATATATTAAAAATTTTTGTTACTTTATTAAAATGACAGGATAAATTTTTATTCAGTTCTCTTATGATCAAAGTATAATTGGATATAGAGATTTAAAGAAAAAAAAAGATAGAAAATAATTAAGAAAGCAATTTTCACTTCTTCACAGAGTCAATGAAGTTTCATAGCAATTAATAGCATGATTAGTTTTTTTATTTTATGAATTTACTTTTCAAAAGACTTTAAAGACTTTAAACAGAGCTTTTTTATTCAATACTCAGTGTGACATCCTCAGAGAAAGTAGACAAAGAGAAGAGGTATTCCGAATTCACCTTGATTTCATTACCATATCCTGGATGTGAATTCTTTAAAGAGTTTAGAGAGAATGATTATTTGGCTAAGGGCTTAGTATTTGATTGGTCTCAGACACATGTAGATGCGCAAATCGGAGTGCCAGAAGATTCAATTTCTGCACAATTACGAATCAATTGGGATGAATATCAAGTCTGGGATTTAGTCAAATTAACTCAAAATTATTTGAAACTTATATTACGATATTTAAATGACAGTGGTAATGGGATATTAATTCATTGTATCTCAGGTATGTCTTTTTTGCGATAATATAATTTTTATAACGTAATATTTAATTTTATGTAATTAATAGTACATAATACTATTTATAGGATGGGATCGCACACCTTTATTTATTTCATTATTAAGAATCAGTTTGTGGGCTGATGGTGTAATTCATACATCATTAAACGCATTTCAAATTCTTTATTTTACCATAGCGTACGATTGGATGCTGTTCGGCCATGATTTAGAAGATCGACTAAGTAAAGGAGAGGAAATATTCTTCTTTTGCTTTTATTTTCTAAAGCACATTCATGATGAAGAATTTAGTATTCATCCGCGTCATAGCAAATCTAGACACACAGTTCTACGCAACGACAGTGATTCACAATTAGATAACGTTATGTTCGATAGCGAATCGGTAGTGACATTGAGCTCAGTCAGTTCTAACTTAAGTCTGAATAGTTGGTGTAGTTCTGTTAGTCAAAATAGCAGAGACAGTCAAGATAATAATCCACCAGCGGTGTTTCACTGTTCTTCCACAGAACCTCAAGATGACAGTCAGAGTAACGGGTAAAATATATTTATTTTCTACGTATGTAATATTTTTCTGTAATTGCTTCTTTTATAGGAACGTTGTACCATGGTCATTTTATCCTTCTCCAAATAAAGAAGGAATTGCTCATGGATCACGATCACCTTTACCACACAATCGAACTTCTCCTGTTGCGGTTCCTGTACCTGGACGTCTTCGACAACGAAATGAATCCTCTTCGTCGGGTGGCTCTTGGCAGATGATATCTGGAACTGGAAGTTTACGTGGTTCCACAACTGCTAATGCCCCGCTCACAGATGGACTGACAACTAGTTTAGCTTGTAAGCCTCTTTGTGAAACTTTTACGGGACATACATCTCAAGAATCGAGTACGACAATTATTGAGGATGAAGTTTGTGCGTCGTCGGCACAGTAAGTATCATATTATTATCAAAATTATTATAAAAAAAATTATAAATTCCGTAATTTTAATATTATATATATTTTAGATCTCGCAAAGAAAAATTACAGTGCTTAAGAAGAATATTTTATAATGCTTATAGTCATACAGTTGGGTTTCGAATGAAAGATAATTCCGAATCGAGTGGCTTTGGTCAATTACTCGGTAACTTTGCTGAAAAAGTAGGAATTCTTTCCGTTCAGCGCACATCCTTATGACTATAACGTCATTGACCTCTCATCCCTCTTCCCACAATTATGAGTTTATTGTTATTGACTCCTTGATTCAAGTTAGAATTTTATAAAAACGCTATACAATGAAAATAAAACAATTGTACATTATCATTTATGTGAATAATGTGTTGTTATACAAAAATAATAGCGCGTATACGCGTATTATGAATAAAAACTTGATATTTTTGTATATATATATATATAATATTTATATGTATATATATATATATATATATATGAGTGTGTATAAATGTGCGCGTGTGTTCTGATTTTGCTTTACATTTATTCTCGATACATATATATATATGTGTACAATGACTGCCATCTGTATAAGATTATTATTAGCACAGATGCATAGTAATTGATGTTCAAAAACAAATATAACTATAAATTATAATATTAAAACGCATAAAATAGTTCTAGTAGATCATTTATCCTTAACTTAATAATTATTTAAAAAAGAAACATTTGCATATTATTTTTATTAATTTATCTTTTTAAATATTTAAAAACAATATTACAAGTTCATTACATGTACAATTCTAGAAGGTACAACATGTTCTCTACACAGTGGACATTGTGGTTTAGTATGCAACCAATCAGTAAGACAAAACCAACAAAACAAATGACCACAGGGTGTGGTAGTTGTTGGCACTTTTTCAAGACACAACTGGCATATCAACTTATTATGTTTCTCATCAAGTATTGAATATTTCTCAAAATGATTTTCACTTTTGTAATTTTGCCAGATTTTCAACATACACTGTATAAGTGTAGCAATTCCTAATAGCCTCAATCCTGAACTGATAGTATCAGTAGGCCGATGACCATACACCTTTAAATTTAAAAAAAAATAATGGCAAATATCAAATGTTATTGTAACAATACTTTACAGTAATTACCTTTGCATAATCTATTCCTGCTATTCTTTTACTTAAACTATAATATCGACCAAATATATAAAATAATCCTTTATGCAATAATATAAAAATAGGTATTATAGTATACATTTTTGATATGAAAGAATTTAAAAATACTATAGTTGTAGGAGTTAATTTACTGTGAGGATGATTAATTGATAATTCCAATTGTTTTAATAATCTTATCAATGCTTTTTCACCAAAACATTCTAAAATTACTGCCAATATTCTTGCCTAAATAATAAGTAGATAATGCGTATTAAAAAAATATATTGTATTTATTTATGATATTTTAGCTACATACATATATAGATGGAACTTTATAAGCTTTTAAATTAGCTTGCACAAGTCCAGTATATTCTTCACCCAACGTTTGATTGCCCATTCCCGATGTAAAAAAAAAATAAACTAATTTAAACGGAATATCAGAGTGAATAAAGGGTAATAAACCCGTTTTCCTTTGCAAAATTTGTAGAATATCGATAACCTTTTCTCGTAAATATTTGACAAAGTCATCATCTCTTTGATGTGATCGTAGAATTTCGCCTTGACTTGCAATATTTAATTTCCGATATTTTTTTTTCATTTCCATAATTGATAAATAATTTTTTTAATTTTATTGAAAATATATAATAATACTGTTTTAGTAAATTAAACAATTAACACAAGGATCGTAATTATCAATATTAAAGATAATAAATAATGAATATTATTAAGGAAAATTATTTTTCAAAACAATCTAATCTAACCTCAAATATTTAGAAAAATTTTTTCACTTTTTGTGCTATTCACTTTTAATATTATTACAATAAAAGAACATACTTATTATCTATTAAGTATTATAGAAATAATAAAAAACTATTAGATGTTTCATAAGAATTAAGAAATATCATCGAATTATGATATTCATTACTGTAAAAAACGTCATTCATGACACGCACAATCATTGTTTCCAAATTTTTGTTAAACTAAAACTATTTTAAATAATAATTTTAGTTTGCGATATTTTTTCTTTGTATTTTAATTTTCATAATATTAAACGATTTTAAACTTAAGACTTTAAAACAATATATTCAAATATACATAATTTAAATTTATGTGAGTTTGAAATATATTAAAATTTTATATATATAAATATATAATACTAAATATAAAATGTTTAAGATACATAGAGCAAATATAAAATAAATTTTTATTCTTAAAGAAAAATTTTCTTAATAAATAGGATTTCTTTTTAAGTATATAAAACAATATATAAAATTTTAATAATAAAAACTTACCAATGTCATAACATTTCATTACCCTATGTTAATTAAAAAATTAAAACGAAATATACTAATTTTTTAATTATTAACAACTAATATTAATTATTTATTTATTTTTTTTATAATATTAGAAATATATGTATAAATAATAATGAAATAAAAAATAAAACACAAAAAAAAAATAAAAAATAAAATAATAAAATAATTATATTTTTTAACGTAAAAAATTTAAATATGATCACGAATATTTTCTAACATAAGAAATGCAACTAATAGATAATATTATAAACACTCTATAAACCATTATAATTTTTTAACTTGAAATTCATATTTTGATTATTACCGATCAATGGAGTCTTCTGATGAGTAGATAAAGCAGACGTATGACGCATTTCTTACATTGAGTACGCCATCTATATAGTTATAGTTATATAGTCACGGGCAGAGGCCAAAGCGGCGAGCAGCAGAGAGGCATCGCCCTAGATAACGGTAGAATCGTGGGCTGGTGTCGTGCTGTTTTTTCGCGAAAGTGCTTGAAAACCAAAAGAAACGTAACGAAATCATTCGCGAGAAGAAGAATCGTCATCCGAATTAAGATTGTTTTCTCATGGTGTGTGAACAGCCGTCTTGAGCCAGTGATTATCGGTTTTTCGAGACGACCGAACAAGAGGACCGTGCCCCGAGGAGCTTTGGTGCACCCGCGCCGCGCGAGACATTCGACCAGTGCGGAATTTCTGAGCCAGTGATACGTTCGTTTCGTTTTTAACTTTATTTCGTGGCTCCATATTACTCGGCACCAGTCCACGGATTCTCTTCAATTGCTTTCGATGTGTTCGTTACGCCAACGGGACGACGAACCGAGCAGAACAGGAGTAGGAAGCGAGTAATCGCCGGAGAATCTCTGTAGATTGGGATATAGTGGGCTGTGAACAAGGACGGAGAACGGGAAAGAGAGGGAGACAGTGTACGAAGGAGTGCGCGAGGAAGAAAGAGAGAGACGAATAGAGTGCGACAGAAGGCCATTAGATTCAAGGAGTACACGGATGTATATACGTCGATTGTTCACTGAACAAATTTAACGAATATTTTGAAGACGCAAGGTAAGAGAAAACCAATGTCTCTATAGGGATATATAGTTTCTAAAAAAAGAACAGCGTCCAACCCCCCGTGAGGTCGTCGTGGCGTGGCACGCCAGGCAAACGCCGCCGGAAATCATGCACGGTGGCCGCCCGCGCATTTTCTCAGGCGGTGCCCGATCCTTCGTTGATTTTTAAGATTAAAAACATCTATTTATTTCATTCATTTTTTTATTAATTCTTTCTATATCGTTCGATTATTATTTATGTGTTCTTATAACGATCTTTTTTGCTCACACCAATTTCTCGTGTCAAAGAGTATCTCTATGGCTAAAAAGAAACCAGGTTTTCTTACAGGTTAGGTTCGACTATCTCTTCTCTATTGAATCGTAACGTTTCGATTTATCGAATTCGCGATAATAACGTAATAATTGAGATTCGCGCGAAAAGCAAAAGTTTAGTTATAATATACCGGCAAGGACAAACCGGCTATAGAGACTCTTTGTCGAATACTTTCGCCTGTTCGTTTTTCTTGACTGTTCGATGATTCACGTGAGTCACTGGTGGCGCAGGAAGTGACTCGAGAAGAAAGAAACCCGGCAACGTGCAACGGTGTTGCTTTGTGTCTCGAATATTTGTTTCTCGTGTTCAGAAGCTATGTTAAAATATATATTTTTGCAATTTGATTCGTTCGATGCGTTCGAGATTCTCGAATAGGATCTATCGATTTGAGTATAATGTAATTCTATATTAATCGCGCATGAATTTTCTTCGTGTAAAAACAATATGTTATGTAGTAAAAAATTATGGCGCATGATCAATTTTGTGCTTCGAAGAGTACAATTTTCGTCATAATTGGTTAATTCATTGTCGATGTTCTTAGTCCATCGAATTTGACATAGTAGATTAGCTACCATTTAAGATTTATTGATACACTGACAATTGAGCTATAAGAGCAACTAATTATTGGCGCTGTTGAATCAATGCGATGAAGAATGCAGTGTACTGTCATGTGATCTGTAAATTCTGTTTCTATGGCAGTCATGAACAATCATTTTCGTGGAAATTGTATTTCATGTTCTGCTTAAATCATTTATGAAAAATAATTATTTTAATTAATAAATTAATAAATATGTGTATTTATTTGTATTTATTATTTGTTATTTATAATTTGTCAAACATTCATTAATAGTATTTTATTTTTGAAAATTTGTGATTTTTATATTTATATAATAAATTAAAATAATGAAAAATAATGAAACTTGTAGAAAATAACATTGAAAACAAAAATGGTGAAGGTGGCATGGAAGTTATCAGAGACAAAATAGATAACGAGTCCGAAAGCCGCGTAGCTAATTTAATGAGTTATTTTTAGTCGCCTTTTTGACATTCCATACGTCGGTTTATTTTATATCCGTATTTAGTTGATAGAACAAATCGTATAAATTAAAATAATTTATTTTTGAATAATATTAATAATAAAAATCTTACATATTAAAATAAAAAAAAGAAAATACGTTTTACAAAAAATTTTTTAAATATTTATCTTAATATTTTTTTTTACAATTTTTATAATTAAATGCAATTAAAGAAATTTTTTTATTATTTTTGTAATAGTTAATGTTCATTATTTAATATAAGAATTTTCGATATTGATACATCGAAAAAAAAAATATAAAAAATAAAATTTATTAATGCAATTTATATGAGATCAGATGATCAAGTATTTTATATTTTTAATAATAAATTTTTATTTTCAATAAAAAAGAAGATATTAACTATTCTGTAAAAACAAAATTTTGTCGTTAATTTTTTTTTAACATCATAAATGAATTATTCGTTAAAAACCACGTATATAGATTGGACAAATATTTTATATTATTTTTATTTGAAGAGATAATAGGAGATATATTTGTATCTGTATTATATATTTCACGTTCGGTTCGATTTAAATTATAGTATGAATAAAGATGATTCCCTGAACAATATTGCCGTGCTGTTGCCGCCGTGTATGTGCGCACGTGTGTATGTATGTATGTTTTCTCTGATAAAAAAGCAAATTCCAATCGGCGAACGAACTAACTTATAAAGTCCTGAAAATTTCACACATATTTTCGGGCGTGACGCAATATTTGAGATAACGAGAAGGAGCCGGACATATGGGGAGAAACAAATTCGTCGGATCAGAAAAAAACACATTTGGATAGCACATTTTTGTTCCTTGAGATAAATACATGAGAAAATATCGTGCTGTGATAAAGTCGAATACCTATACTAATGATGAAATTCGATATGGACAAAATTGACAGATTGACAAATTGTTGAACGTTTTTGATATTTCGTTTCATACTAATAAGATAAAAGAAGAAAGAGATTTTTTTCATTAGAAAAATATGATTTATCTTTTTATACTTTTAATTTTTATATTTAAATTAAAATCATCAGTTTAGAAAATAGCAGAGTTTGGATATCAATTGATCAATTTTTATTTCATAATCTATAATATCAGAATAAACAACTCAAAGAATAATTAATAGTTAATGAAAAACATTTTATAAATATTTCTTGATATAAATTATTTTGATAAAAATTGATAAAATTAACTATTACTTTGACTCAAAATGAATTTTTTCAATAAAAATTTATCAATTTATATATTTATTTATATTTATTATTTATATATTTGTATTATACTTTATATATTTTAATCAAATCAGCAAATGTGGAAGTGCAACTTTTGTAAGCACAATAAAAATATTTCGAATTTCATGATGACATTGTACGTCATCGAAAAATAAAACTAATGAAGATGATTTCATTTGAATGCATGCTGATTGAGATAAATATCGACCTCGGTTTCTATAAATAGGAAGAGTATATTATAGAATCTATATAGTATTTTTAAATTATTTTTTTATTGTATTTTTCTTAACTTAAAATTCGAAATCTTGGAAATTTTTATAAATTCATAATCATTTCATTTTCATAAATTTTTAGAAATTTTATTTTAAATTTAAAGTTTTTATAAATTAAATTTTTATAAATTATTTTTCCTAAATATCTTTTTATTTTTGAAATTTTGTTTTTTTGAATTTTTTTTTTAAACTTTTTATATTATGAGAATATATATTTAATTTTATATAAATAAATTAAACAACATTCATTCTTTTTCAAATAATAAAAAATACTGTCGCGAAAATTAGATAAATCCATAAATATCTATTATACAGATATTTGCATGATTATTATATCTTCAAATAAAACATAACTTTACTAGTGTTCATAGAGTAAGGTTTCGTGCAAAATTACTATTACGTTCACTTGGCGAGACGAGAGTGACTCATGAACTAATGCAATCATTCGTAACACTCGGTACGCGAGAAATGACGTAACGAAAAACGTATCGCGTCATATCCGCGTTGTTGTATGACACTTTTCCACATTTTATCGCATTACTGCTTTGCTCACGCTGGTTCGATCTCCATCTATCTGTCTGTATTTTATCGTTCTCCGTATTGAAATCTTTGAAACACCTTCATATTTAAATAAGTCGAACAAATTATTTTGTTTATTAAAATATTGTTTCTATTTTGAATTTAAATAATAATGATACGTATGATATAAATTAAAATATTATGAAAATTGTTTTTAATTAATTTTTTAAAATCTTTTTTAACTAGAAATTTCATTCTACTCTTATTTTATTAGTATCAATGAGTTTTATCGATGATCCATTTAATTTTATTTAATTTCAATTTTTGTATTCCTTAAACGACAAAGATCATCAATAGTATAAAATATAGATCAAAAATAAAAATTAAATTTAGCTTTTTTTTTTTTTTTTCTTTTTTTTTTTTGAAGAGAAAATAGTGTTTTAAAATTTTGTTCAAATTTGAATATTTAAATGGGATATAGAGAATAAAAATAAATGTTTGAATGGCGTGATGAATTTTATTAATTCTAATTCCAAGTTTGCATTTGTAATTTACTTTCACAACATGCGTGTTCGCTTTTTCTTTAGAAAATTCTATCGAATTTGCCTACCCTTGATAACTCGACGCGTATTTATAAGTTATTGGTTCTTTATTTATAGTATAAACTCGTTCCATAGACTTTGACGAATAAATGGTTATCGATACTTATCGATACTTATGGTTTGGTTTAGCGAAATGCTTTGTATTGAGCGTAACTTAAGAAAATCTCGTTAAAGATTTAGTATCTATTTTTAAAAAGATTTTTTATTTTTAAACTGTTCTGTATAAAAAAAAAGATCTAGAAATAAAGATTTAACTTTAAATCATATCTACAAGTCTGACTGGATCTAGGATTAAAAATTAAATTTTGAAATGATGATCTCTGATATTTTTAACAATATTTTTTAAATAATCAAATTAAAAATTCTTAAATGAAATTTAGAATCTAGAACTTCCCTTCAATAAAAATGATCTAGAATAATTAAATAAAGTAATTTCCAAATTAATGTTAAAAAATAGGATATAGGATAACATAAATGGAATTAAAAAAAAGCAATCGTCATTGTCTGTAAGTGGCTTAATATAACTTGGTAGGAAGGTAAAGAATCTAAGTACAGTTAAAGGGAGGAAAAAAAGAGCATTATAAATTAGCAATGGTCATTTAAACGGTTATGGAAGCGACGATATATCCTTGATGGTACTTCTGGCTGTGAGCTATATTTCAAACAGCGATACATAGCTTGCTACTAAAACGGTTGATATAGATGCACGCGTTATGCCTTTGTAATCGATAGTTTCGGACTAGTCTCGGTTATATCCCGATTGCTATAGCACGATTATGCTGTTAGCTCGAGTTCCACGAAATCTATTGGGTGTTTCTAGAGAATTTTTTAAATCTTCTTTTGTGCTCGTGGATTCGTATGATATTGTATCTTTACATTTACATTTTTGAAGCAGGAATTCGAATAAGACTTCTTGATTTTGGTCGTTTTGAAATATAACCTCGAAAATGAGAATAAATTTTTCATTAGATCGGAAAAAATTTACCAC